TGTTAGATGTCCATGAAAAGACCCACAGGACATTTCCTAAACATACAGGGCCTGGCTGTAGATTTGTGGATGTTTTCACGGCCTAGGAGGGTGGGGACGAGAGTTGGTCACTCAAGACCATGAAGGCCCTCGTGGTCAAGGTGCAGTATGGCGCAGGGTCCAGCTCTGAGGGGCCTGGCAGGGTGGGTCCCAGTGTAGGCTCCACCACACCCTAGATATGTGATGTGGGCGAGTCAGTAACCTCTGGGTCTCTGTGCCCTTCTCTGCAAATCAGGGATAAAATGCCTCCCCCATCTGCTGGGCTGTGGTGCAGACTCAAAGCCAAGCACACGGCTACCACCATGAACTGAGCCAGCTCACAAGAGCCGACTATAGAACCAACCCAGGTGCCCATCAACAGGACAAAGAAAACGTGGTGTATGTGCACAGTGAGGATTGCTCAGTCACGAAGAATGAAAGTGTGGAATTTGCTGATAAATGGATAGAACTGGAGAATATCACGCTCAGTGAAATTAGCCAAACTCAGAGAGTCAAAGGTCGTATGTGTTCCCTGAGAGGAGGAAGCTAGTGTGAAATATGGGGTAGGATGGAGGGGGGAGGAGGAACGGGATAAGGGAAGAACAGTGGGATGGATCCGACCCAACTTCCCTGTACACCAGGGAATATATGAATGCACCACAGTGGATCTCAGCCTCATGCACATCCCAAGACACTAACAAAAAACACAAACCTGTTAACTAAATAGCAGAAAGACCAGTGAAGCAGAAGGAAGGAAACAGGGAAGGGAGGAGGGGAGGGGAAGGGGAAGTCGTGGGGATTGGATTAGAGCAAATTATATCCCATGCTTTAATAATTATGTCAAATGAATCCTAATGTTATATATGACTAAAAATAACTACTAAACAGAAAAAAACAATACTAGCTATTACTACTAGCACTGTTAGTACTGAGTCCTAGTACTATTAGAAACCACTACTTGTGCTTCTAGTTACTATTAATATTATTAGTAATAGCAGCCCTAGTCCTATTTTGTAGAATGTATCTGCTGGGTTCCTGAAGAATTAAGGGCCTGTCCTGTAGACCACCAAGTCACTGCTGCTCCCAGAAACCAGGGCGTGGTGGTGCTGGGGATGATGCTTACTGCTGCTGCTGCTGATGATGATGGTAGTGATGGAGCCAGTGTTGGTGGGGCTGATGGTTGTGAAAGTAAGAGTGATGGAGGTGAGGATGGTAGTGGTAGTGATAATAACGATGATGGTGATGGTGGTGGTGGTGGTGATGGTAATGGTGACGATGGTGGTGGTGGAGGTGATTATGATGATGATGATGATGGTGATGATAGTGGTGGTGGTGATGATAATGATGATGATGGTGATGGTGGTGGTGGTGATAAAGATTATGACTGTGATGATGACAACAATGTTAGTGGTGATGGTGATGATTGTGATGTTGTTGGCAATGGTGGTGATGGTGATAGTAATAGTAGTGGTGATGGTGGTGATGGTGATCGTGATGATGATAACAGTGATGTTATGATGGTAATGGTGATGGTGGTGATGATAAAGATGGTAATGGTAATGATGATAGCAATGTCAGTAGTGATGGTGATGGTAGTGATGGTGATGGTGGCAATGGTGGTGATGGTGATGATGGTGATGGTGATGGTGATGGTGGTGATGGCGATGATGATAGCAATGTCAGTGGTGATGGTGATGGTGATGGTGGTGGTAATGATGGTGATGGTGATGATGATGATGGTGGTGATGATGGTGATGGTGATAAAGATGGTGATGGTGATGATGATAGCAATGTTAGTGGTGATGGTGATGGTGGTGATGGTGATGGTGGTGATGGTGATGATAGTGATGAAGACACATTGCTAAATGCAGATATTTCCGGGAGCTTCTGACCTGGACACTTCCGTCTCTCCCACTGGCCTGCTCCAGCTGTCTCTTCCAAATGATAGCACCCCACCCTTTCCCTCCAGCCTCAAATGTTTTCACTCACCAAAGCCCACAGACACTGATTCTGTGCAAACAGACTGCTCGTAGCCCACATGATGAGTAAGCCCTGGTGGCTGTGTTGATTCAGCAGTGACTTCGGGGGTGGCAGTGGGGGAGGCGTCACGCTGTGCAGCAGCTGAGCCAGCAGGAGTTCCCAGAGGAGGCCTCCCCTCCAGCAGCGGGGCTGGGTGGGACCCGGCAGGCACACGCCCTGCTTCCTCCTCGGTCCCGCTGGGCTGCCTCAGCCTGGGAGGCCCTGACTGGACTCCTGCACATTTCATGACGACTTTGCCTGATTCAAAACTCTGACCCATCTACGGGGAGACCACATTTTGGGGCTGCCCGCCTGGTGGACGCCACCCCCTGAAACCTGCCGTCAGTGGTTCCCAAAGGGAGGGTCTGCTTAGTTTTCCTTTCCTGTTTGCTCCTCATGCAGACCGACCCTTTGCCTATTCAGGTGGGCAGGGCTGCTCAGCTGTGCTGTTGGGGGATGCCTTTGAGGTCCAGAGTGGGTCTGTGTTCCTTCCGAGAATCATTAAAATGTGTCTTTCATTTTAAGATCACTTAAAATTTTATCTTAAAGAGCATTTTGGAATCTGGGGCTGTTGAAGGGAAGAGGTGAGCTCGAGGTGAACAGGGCTGGCAGGCAGCAGGCATCCTCTGGAGCAGACCACCCCGGCCAGCACCTATAAATACAGGGCACCCAGGTGGGGCCCTGCCCCTTCCGACTTGGACACTCTTCATCACGTTCTGGTCCTGGACGCACTGAACTGCAGCCACAGTCACTTCAGAGGGCCTGGAGGCTGCGCCCCTGCCCACATGCGGACAGGCCGGCAGTGGCTGGATGGGGATGGGTTCACGCTCTCTCCTCAGGGCTCTGCACAGGACAGTCGGGCCGCAGGCTGTGTTTTTCCTGTCCCTTTGTTTAGGGGTTGGGGAATGAGCCTATCTGAGCTGGCCTTATAAGGCGGTTCACCTCACTGGGGGGCGGTGCCCGTGGTTGATCCAATGAGGGGTGCCCGGCCACGCCAGGCAGGGACAGTGCCCTGGGAGATGTGCGGGCACACAGCCCTCCTTCCTCTGCCTCGCCCCTTCCTTCTCTCATCTCTTCTCATCTGAGATCCGTCCCCAATCAGGCTCTGAGTCCAGGACTGGAACCAAGACCAGCGAGGGTCTGGGGTGGCCCAGGGCCCCGCAGCTTGGAAACGGGATGGTCATGACACTTTGGGGATGAATTTGGTTGGGCACAGGAACACGATGAGCTTTGCTGTAGCTGTGCTGAGTCCGAGGGTCCAGCAAGCACCTGGGCTTGGGATGAAGCCTGAGGAGGGACCTGGGCTGGAGAAGGACTGCTGAAGGAGCTGCCAGGGAGAGAGGTCCCCCCGGCAGGGGGAAGGGGGTAGAGAGCCCCAGGGGACTGAGGATGCCCCCAGAGAAGAAAGTGCCTCCAGCGCCTGACAAGTGGTCATTTCAAAAGAAGTGATAACTCCATGGGAGTCCACCACCTGAGCCAGTGATCCAGCTGCCCGGCCAAGGCTGGGCTTGTGGACATCTCACGTCCCCTGATAAGACACCTGAGGACAACCTCAGCATTGCTCCCGAGACACTCCTGCCAAGAATGCATAACCAGACCAGTCACGGGGAACAAGGGAAAGCCAAACAGAGGACGTTCCAGCCTATCTGGCCCCTGCCTGAAAAGGTCAAGGTCAAGGTCAATGAAAATTAAGAAAACCAGAGAACATCTCCAGACCAGAGGAGACCGATGAGACGGACAACCGAAGGCAGCGTGCGGTTCTGGACTGGATCCCGGACTGAGTAGAGCAGCCATGAAAGACCAAGGGGTGGGTTCAGACGAGGAGGCAGCAAGCCAACGTGCAAACCGTGGGCGCTAGCTAATCAAGGGCACTGATACTGCTTCAGTTACAGCAATGGTTCACGCTCATCGCGACATTATTAAATGGGGGGAGCGGGGCTGGGATGAGAGGAAGCAAACGGGAAGCCCGTGCCTTCTACTGGATTTCCTGAAACTGCCAAGACAGACTAATAATTCAAAAAAGACTACTGAGGCAGCTTAAGAATTTTTAAAATGGGCAATGAGATGGCTCAACAGTCACAGCTCATCAACATTGAGTTCATCAACACGTTTGGGTGAATTAAAAAAGTTAAAATAGAGACAGGGGCCAGGGTGGAGCCAAGAGGAGCGGGTGGAGGGATGTGCTGTCACCCAGTGCTGCCCAGAGGCCAGGGGAGTTGGGGACAGAGATACATCCCCTGGGTTGAGTGATGAGGTAGCTCCTGTCACCTTGTCACCTGGGGTGAAATTCAGAGGAGGGGAGGGGCAGAAGGCAGATGGGGCAATGGAAGGAGGAAGGAACAGGAAGAGCAAGTGAAGATGATACCCCGGGTCTCAGTGGTCAAAGACAAGTTTCTGCACCAATTCATTCCCAAACCACAGAAGCCCCGTTGCTTCCGGGCTCTGAAGGTAGATGGAGAGATGGCCCTGGGATAACACAGGGTGTGGTTTTAGGCCTGTCCCTGGCTTTCCTCTTTTGAAGGACAGAAATAGCATGGCCTACTACAGCCCAGCACTTTGGCTGTGACCAGGGAAAAACCAGATTTGAGCTGTCTGCAGAGTTACAAGGTGAATCTCTGAGGCCCAAAGTCAGACTGTGTTGCTGTTGCCCAGCCCCAACCTGACCCTGTGCAAGAAGATGCCAAGAGGCCACTTCCTCCCCCTGAAGAAGGCGGTCACGATGGTTATGGACCAGGTATGTGAGTGTCCATCACAGTGCCCAGCACATAGTAGGGACTTTAAAAATCACAGTTGTGAGAAAAAGCTTATCTACCACAGAAAGCCCACTAATGCTTCAAGAGATTTGATGTCACAGAATTAGAATTTCATCCCTCTAAGACACCAAGGGAAAGGTGTCACAAGGTAAGAAAATAAAAACCTCCACCAAGAAGGAGCGTTTGACCGAAAAGCCTGTGCCCAGCAGGGGCACTAGGGGCTGCACCTCCGCTGTCCGGGGAGAGAGAATAAACCAAGACAAGGACATCCAGTGTCTCATCTTGGCAGAGATTGAAGGAGGGGGACAAAAACTCATTTCTAAGAGTCCAGACAGCAGGCTTGCGCTCTCACTTTGCACAATCAGTGTGACCCGAAGAGAAACACACACGGCCCACAAACAGGTGTCACAGCCATGGCAGGAGCGAGGTTGGCCTGGGTGGAGGAGGGAAGCAAACCCACACACCTCCCTGGAAGAACTAGATTCCAACAAGGCACCCAGACCCCAGAGCTGAGAAAAATGAAGTCTCAAAAATCTATGAAATATGGTCGAGTAGATGAACTGCGGCTCTCGGGGGCCTGAGTCACTGGGTTTATGGCGAGAGCCCGTGCTGGGCTCCAGGTGGGAGGGGGCAGCTCTCTGCTCCTGCAACCCTGGTTTGCCCTGGCGAACGGCAGGTGAGCCACTCAGTTCCTCAGGTAAGAGTGTGTCTGGGAAGGCGACAGCACCTCCCCAGGCCAAGGCAGGACTTCGGTTAACTCACAGCCCACTGCAACCCTAAACGCCATTACGCTTTGTGGCTCTGAGGCTGCGGGCAGAAGTCCAGTGGCATTGAGCTGGCCAGGGCAGAGGCGGCTGCAGATTAATACATCTTAATTATTCTGTTTATACAAACAAGCAGGATGAAGGCCCCACCATAGCTGGAGCTTTCAATGACTTGGGGCCCAGAGAGAGAAAAAAGTGCTCGATAATTAGCTTGGGAGCAGACTTTTGCTTTTTCCTTCCCTTTGGACTAAAAATAAAATATGGGATGTTTTTACACTGGCAAGATTACAACCTCTGCAGATGGTGCTTATTTTCTACCTGTCAGGCCTGTGTGCGCGAGTGTGTGCAGAGTCACACACACGCTGTGCAACCCAGCACAAACCATAAGGATGCTATGGTTGGGATGGGGAGTGTCCCCAAGAGCCCATGTCTTGAAGGCTTGGTCCTCAGGGTGGCGCTGTTGGGAGATGGTGGTACCTTTAAGAGGTGGGGCCTGGGGAGAGGTCCTGTTGTTGGGGGCGTGTCCTAGGAGACTGGGGAGCCCTGCTCCCTTCCTGGCCAGGCAGATGGTGGTTCTGCAGTGCCTCATGCTCTCTGCTGGGCTGTGCCACATTGTCACAGGTCCAAAACAACAAAGCAGCAAACCATTGACTAGAAACTCCAAAACTGAGCCAAAGTAAACCTTTCTTTTTATAAATTAATGATCTTGAGTATTTTGTTATGAATTATATATATAAGCCAACACAGGAAGACCAGAAGGGAAAAAAAAAGATCAAACCCCACGGAGGATTTCCCCTTTTGAAAGCCACCACTCCTGCTCGCTCTGTCCTCAGGCACAGAAGCAGGGCCCTGTCTGCAGAGGTCTCAGGTCCTCGTTTCCACAGCAACCCAGAGGCCACTACGCGCCAGTTGTTGCTGAGGACTTTGCCTTCCACTAGCTCAGTGGATTCCCTTTCTATTCACAGGAAGATCACGGGTGACGGACTACCAAAAGGTCACACGTGCTAATGGTGGGGCCAGGATTCGAATCCAGAACATAAAGCAGAGGTTCTCCAAGTGTGGACCCTAGGCCCACAGGATCAGCACTGCCCTGTTAGAAACGCAGATTCCTGGGCCACTCCAGTCCTAATGGCTCAAAAACCCGAGGACTAGGCACAGCAATCTGTGACATGGCTGCTATATATCAGCCCATAGGTTGCTTACTTCCTCTCGGGAGACTGAGGTCTCTCTCAAAAGCTGACCAGCACCAAAGTAAAACATGTATACCTCCCCTTATCTTAAACACAGCCCCAGGAAGTCGATCTCGTGGCCGCTCCGGCTTCCTGCTTGCCTACCCCGAGTTTTATACAAAATGGCACTCAGCATCTGCTAGGAGGAGATGAGATAAACCTCGGGATGCAAAGACCCTCGTGACTGCTGCCGTGCAGAGCTCTCTGCCCCAGAGACGCCCCCTGTGCTGCCAGCAACCCCAGCCAGATGTGAGGCACCCTCCGACCCCTCCTTCTGCCCGCCAGGTGTAGGAGGGCAGCGGCTCTTTCCTTCGCTGACGTGGTCCCAGTGCTCAACACAGCTCAGCCCAGTCGGCCCTCAGGGAACACAGGAGAAAGGAAGGAATGAAGGAAGGAGGATCGGCAGGGCCACCACAGTGGGGAGGACCCACACTGACACATGAAGCACAGGCCACAGGGAACTGAGCCTGCACTGGAGGGCCGGGGTCAGCCAGCCAAGTGGCACCTACCCCAAAGCCTTCAGCAAGCAATTCCTATGTGCTGGGCACCATGGCCAGGCCCCAGGGGACCCACACATGACTCCTGCAGGGACCTGCCCTGGGGGCTGCATAGATGGGGCTTAAAGTGCAGGAGTTAGAGGCAGCCAGGACACCTGGTCCCGTGTCCCCCGTATCCCACCAGAAGCCACTAGGTGGGGCTGTGTGGGCCACCTGCCCTTTCCGGATGTTCTTTCCTGTTTCGTGAGGAGGCTGGTGTGGTTCTGAACTTGGGGAAACCAGGGCTTAGGCTCTAAGAAGCCTATCTTCCACACATCACAGCTCACCTGACCGTCGACACTGATTGATGAAGTAAATAAAGTTGGCATTAACATTATACAGATGGGCCAGGTGAGCCCCAAAGCAAAGTGACTTGCTGAAGGCCCCAGAGCTGCTTGGTGTTGGGCCCAGAGCACACCCTGGTCTCATAACAGCCCTGCCCAGCCCAGGGTCACCCGCACCCTGCAGATGCTGGAGCCCAGCTGGAGCCCAGGAAGGAGTCCTGGTGTGCCAGGCACCTGGACAATGTGTGCTCCAGGGAGGGAGATGTCCCAGGAGCCTTGGGGCTCTGTGAGCCCGGCATGCTGGGGCCTGTGTTGTCCCAGACCCTTGCTTGGCCAGAAAACAAGGGTGTGCCTCTGGAAACAGCAGCCCTGGGGACTACAGTCACACTTGGCTTTTCCAGGAGTGGAGAGACCCTCCAGAGCCCAGCAAGACGTCCCCCCAGGCATCACACAGAAGTTGAACCTGGGTGTTGGAGCCAGAGACCAGTCAGGAGTGTGGTGCCTCCGAGCACTGCAGCTCATTCACCCTTTCTGATTCCCCAGGCTGAAAGCAGAGGCAAGAAACCACTTGGAGGGCTGGGGATGTGGCTCAAGCGGTAGCGCGCTCGCCTGGCATGCGTGCAGCCCAGGTTCAATCCTTAGTACCACATACCAACAAAGATGTTGTGTCCACCAAAAAATAAAAAATAAATATTAAAAAAAAAGAAACCACTTGGGTGTCAACAGAGGGTGAAATGAGATGTCCTGACTACAGTGGACACACATCCAGGCCCCACAGTGGATGGCCAGTGGGCACCATGTCGGGCACTGAGAACTGCTGCTTCCTCCCGTTAGCACCCCGTTCCTGCCATCGCCTGGGCCTGGAAACACCATGGGAGTGACTCTGAGCACGTCTCAGAGGGCCCCAGAGGAGAACCTGCCTGGTGGAACTGGAAGGCCCCGCTGGCCCTTCTTCCTGAGTCCTCCTGAGCCCCACCTGCCCCTCTACCACCAAGGTGGGCACCCGGGCCAGGTTCCTGGGACTACCCTGGTTTACACCTGCGGTCACAGTCATCATTAGGAGCACCTTGTCACTCCCCAGAGTGCCCTGGTCCTGGATGGCAAGCTCCAGGGTCCCTTCTCCACCAGGTGTCTGTCATGGCAAAGTGCCCTTCACACCCTTGCAGCCACTCCCCGAGCCTGGAGCTTCTGGAAAGCAGAGACCGCACAGAGCCTTCCAGAAAGCCCAGGGGTCCTGCCCCAGCCCCCCAGGCCCCCAGCCCCCCAGATGCCTGCTCTGCAGCCCCAGAGCAGATGGCAGACGCGTACCTTTTGGAATCCGGTGGGGTCCCCGGGAGAACTCAGCGTCTGTTGTTTTAGGAAGGAGAGGAGCGGGGGAAACAGGTGAGGTGAGCGGAACGCAAGTCCCAACAGGGCCTGCGCTGGGCTATCTGTGTGTGGGGGGCTTCCCTAAGGCGGCTTCCCTAAGGCGCTGGTCGCCTGCTCGGCCCTGCCACGGGGGATTCTGTTTAATGAACTTTTTAACACACTTGGGCCTGGCCTGAGGGCATGGTCTGGGGAGGCCCTGCCACGCTGGCTGGGACACTGGCACCTGGCTGGGGCTGGGCTGACACCTAGTGGCAGAAAAACCTGCAGAGCCAGGTTTTGGCTTCTAGGGGCCTCAGCTCCCCTCTGAACGGGGCCAGGGTCACTCCAGCAGCCGTGGCTGTTGCTGAATGGGGTGACGCAGACAGAGCTCTCAGAACAGTAGGCAACCGTGAGGCCGTTGCCATGGTTACCGGGAGGCCAGCCTCATGGCAAGAGAGGATGGCCAAAGGAGATGACCTAAGTCAAGTGTCCCGCCCCGACCCCAGCTGGGACGTGGAGGTGCAGGACAGAACACAGGCAGGCTACTGGCCCAGTGAGGCTGGGCCCAGCTGTGGTCCCTCCCTGGGTCCCGACACCTGAGCATCCTCAGCACCTACCAGCAGGTGGCTGGAGTCCTTGAGCTTGGACTTGTACAGCATCCAGCGGTAACGCAGATCCTCCAGCTCGTCCGAGGTGCCCCTGGCTGGCCCAAGACGAAGGAGGTTCTCGAATAGATGCTGACCCGTGGGCACTCGAGCCTCTAGCTCCTAGGGCAGAGGGCAGCATCATGGTGAGGCTTCTGATGGCCCAGACCGCCCACCCCCCTGGTAAGGGCAGGCTGACTGAATTGCCCTCCACAGAGAGGCCCCCGGGGAGGGGAGCACAGAACCAGTAACGTGGGACCCTCATGTGCAAGTGCAAGCCAAGGCCCAGCAACTGCTCTCTGGAATGTTACAGAAAGACCTCCTGTGTGCAAGGGCAGCTGGACTGCCAGCCACTATGGTCACTTGGCCTGCCATCCTAGGACCAGGTCCTAAAAGGGCTTGTCAGAGGAGTCGCCATGGTTACAAAAGTCACCCCGTGGAACGTGCCTTTCCATGGGCAGGATTTCGTTCGGCAGTTGGTGCTGGAGGGAGCCAGTTTTTCTATCAAAACTGAGTGCAAAGGACAAACCTCTTCACTCTCAGGACTCCTGAGAGGCCGTGTGATGCAGGGGAGGGACTGGGGCAGGAGCCTGGGTTTAAATCCTGGTTCTGGACCCTGATCGTGCCCCATCTTGTTAGCTGTGCAGTATGCAACCATTTGCATCGATGCTCAGAGCCTGCTAGAATGTGAGTTGGACAAGAGCAAAAGGGTCTCGAGGGTGGAACTAAGAGCCATTTCTGATATGGTTGGAGTTGGGGGCGGGGGTGGGAAGTGAGGAGTGGCCAAATCTGAGGTAGGAGGGAAGGGCTTCCTGGTGATGGTCAACTGGATAATTGGGAACAAACCTGCACTGAGGACATGATATTAAAGACATTTTTAAAACCATCAAAGGCTTAGCGAAAGAGTGAGGCACATCAGGTCAAAACTCAGGCAAGGAGAACTGGGGGTGCAGCTCAGGGGCAGAGCCCTGACCCAGCACATGCGAAGCCCCGGGATCAATCCCTAGCACCGCAAGAAACCAGAAACCCAAAACAACACGAAAGGAACCTCAGAGAAGCAAGCCTGTGTTAGGCCTGTGTTCACCCTTAGGATATCCTCCAATCTGGAAGAAACGGCTGTGAGGCAGGTCTGTGGTTTGGCAACCTCCTCACGGGGTAGGGAGGTGGAGGTCAGACTCTGGGCTGCGTGGAGGTGGACAGAACAACTCCCCCTCTAGCTGACGCCTACGGGCTTCACCCTCAGAGCAAAGGTGAGCCAGCAGTAAATCTGGGCCTGGTGGAGACTGGCCGCCCAGCTCCAGGTCATCTTGTAATCCAGGGACCTGCAAGCCTTGGACTTGGGTTCAGTGTCCCAGAATGACTCAGCCTCCTTCTCAGCAGGAACAACCACAGAAAAGCCCTCTCTGGAGGAAGAGGGTATCCTAGATCTCAAATTACTCTAACACATATTTTGTCCACCACAACATTCAGCACAGAATACACACAGCCTCACACAAATACAAGGCACTAAGGAGAAGAAGCAGCAGAAATAAGACACATCAGAACCATTCCTAAGATACTTTGGGATATTGATGTTATTAGACATATTATAAAACAGCTATGTTTACTGTGTTCAAAGAATTAAAAGACTAGTGTAAACATTTGGGCAAGGATCTGGAAGCTAGCTAGGAAATATGACCCAGCAAATTGTTGAAAGAACCAAATAGAAGTTCTAGAGTTGATCATTAAAATAACAAAAGTTACACTCAATTGACATGTGTAATAGCTAAAGAGAGAATCAGTAAACTGGAAGACAGGTCAGAAAAAATATTCAGAATGCAACATGAAGAGACAAAAAGACAGAAAATACACAGAGAAGCCAAGAGACATGAAGCACAGAGTGAGAAGAAATAATATACATGTAAATGACATGAGAGAAGGAGAGAAAAATGCACTAAAGCAGACTCAATGTTTTAAGAGATAGTGTCAGAGAATATTCCAGAAAGATCCTAAATCATAGAGTCAGGTGTTCAAATGAATCCCATAAAGGATTAAAAGATAACAAACGTCAGACTCCAACATGTCATAGTGAGATTTCATAAAAGGAAGAGAAGAGGCAAGCTGGGGTCTGGTGAGAAAGGCCTAGCATGATGACCTTGGGGTCTGAACTTGTTCCGAAATGTTTCCATTAAGTGGACAAGGTCACTCTTGTCCCCGTGGTTCTGGAGGGTCATTCTGGCTGCAGAATGAACCATGACCTGGGAAGGGTCCCAACAGGGAGAAGGGAGATCATCTGGGAAGTTAGTTCTTCAATCAAGGTGAAAAATAGTGCCTAAACCAAGGCACTCACAGTAAAAACAGAGCCTTCCAAGGAGGCGGAACCAAGGAGGATTTGGTGACTACTAGGGTCTGAATTCTTGCCCCTCCCCAAATTCATGTTGAAACTTTACTGCCATTGTAACAAGAGAACTGAGATGACTGGGCCATGAGGGGGAGTTAACATCACCCCCCTTCCTGGCCTAGGCCTCCGAGGGCATGGCCTGCTCCCACTGTCCCCTCCGACCTGCCTCTGCCATGGGAAGCCCGGGCTGCCCCACAGGAGGATAAGATGTGTGGTCCATGTCACTCTCTTCCCCACCAGCCTGCTGACCTCCAGAATTAGAGGCACTTGGTTGACCTACATCTGACAGCAGACAGGCGAGGGAGCCCAGCCCTTGGCCTTCTGAACGGGCAGGAGCCAGGCTGAGCTCAGGGTCTGAATATGAGTTAAATACACAGCTGCTGTTTTCAGCTGCAAGCTGTTGGGGTTGTGTGTTACACAGCAATTACTAACTGATACAGGCGCCTAGAGACAAGGGCTGATATTCTTATTCCCAAGTAAGGAATAAGAAAAGGAGGCTGAGTGAAGGAAAGCAAGGAAAAGCTCTAAAATATTTGAATCCAAAAAGTTTAAGGAGCTTTAATTCTACACAAGGGAGAACTGCTCACAAATGACTGTCAGTGCTCCCTGTTAGAGCAAACACACCTACGGGTGCAAAGCCCACGGGCAAGGGGTGGCTTCTTGGGCACAAACCTGCAGCTTCGTCTCTCTGGTCCTCAAGCCCTTGGCGGTGCTGGTTCTCATGGCAATGGTTCGAACCAGCTTGGAGTTTTCTACCTGGAGCCACTGCTCAAAGTTCCTCAGGAGCTGGGGGAAATCTTCATGGCTGCCTCCGTCTTCCTCCAGCAGGTCGGCCTGCAGGAACACACAGGGCCAGAGCCGTGGGGGTGAAGGAGGACCACTGGACACGTGGGCCTGGACGCGACTGAGGCAGCGGTGGGGGACGAGGACAGGGAGAGGCCTGAGGGGAGGATCTCTACTCAACATGGCCACATCTAGGTCAGGAGCATGCCTCAGCGTCACCTCTTCGTTCCTAGTGCAAGTCACCGTCACCTCTTACCAGGACCGCTATCCAGCAGTCACCCTTCTACCACTCGTGAACCCTGTGGCTGTGACCTGAGTGATCAGTATAGAGCACGAGACACCTTCCATATGTGGTGTCGCCTCGTGCCTCCCTGATGTGGCCTGAGGGCCTCGGGCTGTGGCTATTGTGGCCTCCGAAGGCCAAGCTGCCGCTCCTCTCTGAGCCGGAGCCTGCAGGCGTGTCTTAGCCCCTGGACCTGGGCTGCCTCCCTCTGGGTCTGCGCACGCACGGTGCCCCCTGTTTGGGGCGCCTCTCTCCCTCCTCTCTCACTCCCACTCAGCCTCCAGGGCCCATGCTCCCAGGAGGGCTCTCCTGCCCCAGGTCTGGGTCAGGTCCACTCCAACACAAACTCATGGCATCGGCCCCTCTGCCCACGTCTGCACAGTTTTGTAAGCTCATTTAACTGCCCATGGACCTGTCTTGCTCCTCAAACTGCACTAGAAAGCAGCATGGAGCCTGCTGGCAATGCAGACCGTGGGCCCCAACCAGGCTGCTGGATTGTAATCAGGTGCACGTCCCAGTCGCAAAAGCTCTGAGCTGCTCTCTAAGCCAATCCTCGGAGCACCGTGGCACTGAATAAATGTGTTTGGGTGGATGAAGGAAGGAGTGGGAGAATGAATAATTGGATTTTCTTTTTCTTTTTTGGGATGGGGTCTCACTGTGTCGGTCTTGCACTCCTGGGCTCAGGGGACCCCCTGCTTCCGCCTCCACCTAGCTGGAGCAGGTGTGATCACTGCACTGGGCTTTGATGGATTGTTCTTGAAAAACAAGGAATAACGTTCTCTTCCACATGGCTCAGTGGTTTAAAGGCAGAAAGAGAAAGTGCTGATGATACCATGTTAGTTCTTTTCAAAAATACACAGCCAAGGCACAAAGATACCCCCTTCTCCTGTGATCTCAGGTCTAAATCCAAGGCCAGCAGGAAGTCTGTGACCTTGTCACTGTCCTCCCTGCTGGGGAACCATCTAGGGATTCAGAGAGGGAAGGACCAGCCTGGCCCAGGGTTGCCCACCACCTACCTGAGGCCCTCTCTGCAGCGGGCACCCTTGCTCTTGGGGCCCCAGCAGGGACAAGTGAGATGGAATGTGGCCAAGGCCTGGGAGCTGAGCCCGGGGTCCCAGGCAGGGAGGGTGCCATGCTGCAGACCCCACCCCACCCGGCACTTGGCCCTTCTCCCTGCTAGACACACTCACCCCACGACGGTGCCTGGGAACGGGGTCCATGGGGTTGATGAGGTACCCAGACTTCGGGATGTTGTTGGTGAAGACCAGCTTCTTCCCGGTGTCCACCTCTGTACTCTGCAGCTGCTGGCTTCTGATGAGGCTGGGAAGACAAACAACCCCTCAAGGTGGTGACGTGATGGGGACCCATCGGGGCACTGGAGAAGTAACAGCCCTGGGCCTCAAGGGTGGCAGGACACTTCTGGGTTTCCCATCAACAATGAGCCAGCAGCCATCCTTCAGGTGTGGCAGATGCTCCTGAGTCTCCCACGTGTCCCGTCTCTGAGTTGCAACCCCCCTCCCCGGTCACACAGGTGCACGTGCTCAGGACACAGATAGGAAACTGAGGCTCACACCAGAGCGGGCTGGAGGCCGACCCCCAGCCAGGGACATCTTAGCTCCCCTACCCCTACCAGAATCCCCAGAGGGGCTCAGGTGTGGGGAGGTGGGCAGGTCCCTGGCACAACGCCTGGCTCAGAGCCCTGGCATCTGCTCGGAGCTCTTCCTGGTGGCAAGGGGGCACTGCCCCAGACAAGGCTCAGAGCCAGCGGGGCCTCTCACCTCAGCAGGTGCTCCTCCAGCAGCCTCAGGGCCCGCCAAGCCTCCACCAGCTCCCGCAGCTCCGCCTGGACCAAGGCCGCTCCCTCAGGAGAAGACTTCTCCATCACCAGCTGGCCGTGCGCCTCGACCAGGGGCAGCTGGGCCTCCTTCTCAGGGAGGTCAGCCAGCAGCCTCTGGAGGACACAGGGGGACACACACACACAGTGAGGGCCCTCCTGGGGAAGGCCCCGCCTCCCACCGGGGGAACCTCAACCAAAAAAGCCGCCCTTGGGGAACCAAGGGAAGGAAGCAACCCCTTACCTCCACCTCGGCCTCTCGGGACGCAGCATCCCACGGGCCCACGTCCCGCTGGTGTGACTCCAGCAGCTGTGTGACCACAGTGACCCACTGCCGCAGCTCCTGCAGCTGGTGGCTGAAGGTGCAGTGCTCCCGCACGCTCTGCCGACACCTGTCCACGAGGTCCTGCAGCACAGCCAGAGGCCAGGGCACTGAGCGCTGGAGCAGGCAGAGAGCCAGGCACCCCCCAACCCTGCAGGACCCCAAACCTCCTGGGCCCTGGCTCCTCCCACAGCCAGACAGACACCACAGGCTGGTCCTCCCTGGGCACAGCACAAGGATCCCCAAAGATCAAGTCTGGTTCAAAACGCCTCCCACCTCCTGGCCTGTCTCCTATAGAAACAGCCAAGGGCAGGTGGGGCTGGTGTGAACGGGTACAAGCACTTTTGCTCAATGGAATGTTCTAGAGCAGCAAGAATGGGCACGCCACACCAGTGCAGTGTAGGATGAACCTACAACCACGTGTGGGGGGCCAGCACGCACACAGTATGAGCATCTGTGTGGCTCCGTCAGCAGGCCTAACTGAAGCTGGGTCCAGTCTGAGGTCAGGAGCCAGCGGTGACTGGCGGGCGTGAGGGAGGCTGCCGTTGCTCTGGGTTCTTTCTGGGTGCTGCTGAATCCGATCCGTTTAATTTAAGATTCTGCCCGAGGTGCCCAGTAAGACATTCACTTTTCTGGATAGGACTGGACTTCACCAACAGGTTTTCAAACAGTCTTGCTTTTTCCTCCTCCCTGAGGCCTGTTTCCTGGGAAACCGAGGCCTCGGAGGCTGGAACCTTGTTCTTCTCTGTCTCCAGGAAAGATGGCACTGAACACAGAAGAAGGCCATTTTCCATGCTCCTGGTCACCCTGCCCGGGGCCCTTTGAGCACCTTCTTCATCTCACTAGGAGCCAGTCAGACCCAGGGCCCACCGTCCCCTTTCCTGCTGTGTCTCCCAGCTTAGGGTCTCGTTATGTGGGGCCACCAGAGGCCCTGCCTTCCTGTGTTCCACAAACGCGGGCTGGCCCTGCAGGGTTCCAGGACCATGCCAGGGATGGGGACCTAGAGAGGGGCTGGGCATTCCGTGGGCCTCCGGGGGGGTGGAGCATCTGTCCCTGAGGGCTGTCAGCAAGGGCGAACCGTTACCTAAAACCTCACTCCTCCTAGTTCTCACCACCCAATGCCTTCAATGGCTCCCTACTGCCTAGAGCTGGGACCTCCCCCCGGGGGAGGGGAAGATCACTGTCTGGGGGGGGGGCACGTTAAAACTCACTGGACTTAACAAGCACTGAACATCCAAATAACAGGAGGGGCCGTTTCCCCTTAAATGAGTATGCAAACTGTAAATAAAGAAACTCGGTGGAATTGGACTGTCGCAGTCTGCAGTCCCTAGCTCCTGACTTCTGATCAACCTCGCTCACCGACTGGATGTGGGTACCGCAGCTGACTTGGGCTGCGGGATGGTTTCCTGTCTCTCGACGCCCCCTCCCTCGACCTTGGACCACAAGCTGCTCCTGGCTTAGGCAGACTCCATGGGTCTCTATAGGGGGTGCTGTGCTCCCTGGAGACCCCTGGAGTGTCTGGCTCAATGCAGATGCTGGCCTCTCCAGGGACATGTCCCTGGTGTAAAAGGATGTGACACTGTACTTTGGTTTGATCACTTTTTATCATATTCCAGAAAACCGCATCCCAGGAGGCCGAGCAAGCACCACCACGGATGGGGCACCTGTGGCCGTGACCTGGAGGGAGCGTTCACTGACATCTCCCCGTGTCTTGATGTAGCCACCTGGGAGCATTTAAGCATCAAAGGACACTATTTGATTATAACTATTTTTAAAAATCTCTCTTATATTCTAGAAAGTTCTAAATGGTCTGTGAGGGGAACTCACATTATCTGTGGGCTGGAGTTGTAAAGAGGGCATTGAGCAGGGTGGGGTGGACAGAAGAACCTGCCTCACACTGTTTTCTTGAGATGTGGCTATTCCACACCAGCTCACGGCCTCGGGACACAAAGGCAGACCCAGGCCTGCACCTGAACGAATCAGAGCCTGAGGGGTCTACAGTCTGCATTTCCTCTTGTCCATTGGGGCCAGTTTGGAAGGAGTCTCGCCTGCGCCACACACGCAAGTGTCCAGGCGGCCACTAGAGGGCACTGCAGACAAGGTTCTGCGGCCCCGGGGCTCAGGGCTCCCTTTGCAAAGGCCTCTGCGCGCAGGCTGCTGGGGTCACAGCAGCTCTTCCCCCTCGCGGCCCTTAGCTCAATACCGAGTGGAGCCTTTACTTGCTTCTTGCTGATTTATCTGCATCTACCCAACTAGAACGACCATCCCCAAGGGAGACGACGCCTTGGCCCTCTCCTTCAGACTACTCCGTTCGCAGGCCTAGTGCAGCGCCCCCATGCGGAGGCCTCAGTAATCACCTGTCCCAGGAAGCAGGGAGGGAAGGGAGGACGGAAGGAAAGAGGGAGAAAGGCCCCCAGAGCCCAGGATTCTTGGTTGCCACTCAGGCTCCTCTGACGGCCTTACCTCCAGGGGCCTCTGCAGGGCCTGGTGGTCAGAAGTAAGCTGGTCCATCTTGTGCTGGTGGTTGGGATTCCCCTGGACAAGAGGCTGCATGGCTTCCATCTGCAGGCCCAGCTCCAGCCCCTCTTCCTGCAGCCCCTGCCGTGGAGAAGGGGGTGCTGAGCCTCCTCCCTGACCCTCACTGTTGAGGCTGATCAGGGCGGAGGTGGGGGTCAGCTCAGAGCGAGGGCCTGGGGTGGGGGCTTTCCAGGATACAGGGCCCCCCACACCAGCAGATGCACCACGTGTCTGGTCTTATAGGCCCAGCTCACGGCTGATGAAAAATTTTAAATCAGACCAAAATATTATGGAACATCATGAAAATAAACTCAGTAAAAGACCAGAGGACATCATGGAGGACAAAATCACTTTCACTTGATGGCTACCTCTCCTTATGAAGAACCACACCCCAATTTCAGGTTTCAAGACTCAAACGCACCAGCGTAATATCTTGCAGAGAACTCTCACTCTATATGTGAGCTGTCCTTGGGTTCTAAAGATGATTTTTGGATCACATGCATTTTCAAAACCAGCAAGCTCCTTATCCAGCCAACTGTTATCAAGGATCTGCGTGTGGGTTAAAATGCATACTCTCAATCTCAGAATTGTGTTAGTTAACTGAAGGCCTCTGGACCCATTAGGGATAGTTAGCAATGCAATTTTAGAAACCAATACCAATTTTAGGCTTTGGAACTCAGAGGTAAATAATTATGATTTTGTTAGGCTTCAGAATCTGCAGTCTGAAGGTGCTAAAGGCCCCGTTGAGGCCAGGGACCATCATATAAATAAGCAGAAATTCCATTAAGACAAAAAGTCAGATCTCAAGTAAGGTGTAAATCTCTGGCTCCAGCTGGCTCCGGCTTTGCTGGTTACTAGAAGAGGAGGAACTGCTTTTATGCACAAAAAAAGTCAACCCTGTGAGGGTTGACTCGGCCCCACAGACCCCTTACCTGCAACCTCAAGAGCTGGGCCTGTTTTCCAGGAAGGTCCCGCTGAAGCCCTTTCTCAGCTTGGATTCTAACTTGGAGGTCTAAGAGCTTCCTCTGTAGGGGTTCAAAAGCAGCCCCAAAGTCCTTGTGCTGATCAAGCAAACTCTGCGGAGACAGAATGGGCAGCTGCGAATTAAGAACTTTCCTCAGGGGCACCTTGTTATAGACCTGGCACCCATAGAAGGCCTGGCTGCTCTCCTCAGCACATTCTTGCTGCAGAAAACCTTCTCAGAGCCTTGATGGGGTTGGGTGCCTCATCTTAGGGTCCCCATGATGTCCTTGCATAACACTTTGGCCACATCCCTCTAGAACAGGGGCTGGGAAACCCCTCCCCAAATCCCACCAGAGGTTGTTTACGTCGGCAAAGTGCTGCTGGACACAGCCGCATCCTTTTATTTACCACTGAGGCCCAGGAAGCCCACCCTGCATATGCTGACCAGGTCACCACTGGCTCACAGACAGCCTTTGGACATCTCCTGGGGATTGTCCATTTGTTGGTTTCCGTCACCAGGTTGTGAATGTTGGGGGTGAACTCTCGGCTTTCTTTCTTTGTCTCTCCAGCTCCTAAAACCCTGCCTGGCCCTACTAATGGAGGCAGAGAACACAGGAGGTGAGACAGCAGGCTTGGGGTCAGGCCGTGTGGGGTATGTCCTGGCCCTGCCACTCTGGATCAAGAGCCACCACTGAGTTTCCTCATTGGTAAAACAGGGGGAAGAATAGCAGGTCCTCGTGGGTACCGTGGGTCAGATAAGATCAGGGGGTGATGCTCTGAGCAAGTGCCCGGCCACAGACACTGCCCTGTGCCTCAGAGCTGCTATCATCCTCCGCTGGCTCAGCAAGCTTTCATCCTGTAGAAGAGGAGGCTGTTCCCTGCATCCCAGCTGCATCTTGGATTGGGGACAGTCAGCGTGTCACTAATGACACCAGCCCAGCATCATGGTGGCTTAACGTTTCCAAGTGCTCTCACCTGCGCTGGTCCTCCACCAGCTCTCTGTGGTATAAGATAGATTGCAGAGTAGGGAGGGGACAGACAGGTGGCTAGGGAACCAGTTAGAGGGATCCTGGGAGAATCCTACCCAGTTTATGCACGAGGAGCCTGAGAGGGTGAGGGACAGAAGGATTCGTCCAGGCCACAGCGGTGAGTGGCAGTGGGGGTTGGAACACCACCGTGAGGGCCACTCCCGCCTGGCCAGGCCCAGTGCCAAGAGGCCGCCGCCCCTCACCTGCAGCTTGCTCTTCCTCTGCAGGAGGCTGTTATGCAGGAGGTCCCTGTCCCTCACGGAACTCGCCACCTGCTCCAGGAGGGCGCTGGCTCGCTCTGGGCCAAAGATGCTGCTCAGCAGGTCCGTCTTCAGCTGCAGCATCGCCAGCTGCTCTTTGAGGCGGGAGCTTTCTGCCAGGGCCGCCTGCGGGTGACAAGACCCCCAGGAAGCTCAACAGCAGGTCAGGAGCACCCGGTCCTGGCGCTGCCCAGCAGGAAGGCGCGCCTCTGTGCAGGTGTCCCGGAGGCAAACAGAAGCTTCAGGGTCAAGTCCGAGTCTTCTCCCAACCACCCCACACCACCCACCTGTCACCAAAGCCGAGTGATAGTTCCTCCTTCTCCTCATCTCAGAAATCTGCCACCGAGGGCCACACACGCTGGACCATGTGGCTCCTACCTGCCTGTGGCCTCCCAGTGGGCACCGGGACTTCCCCGAACCAGCCTGACCTCTAGACAGAGGGCCTCCCCCAGCAGGGTTGTGAGGGGCCATGACATGGGAAGGCAGGAGGCTGCCCGGAGGGGTCACCCCTCGGTGGACTTCTGATGTGTAGGGGCTTACCAGGCAGAGAGGGGACCTGAGGGGACTCGGAAGCCACCTCATAGGATGGCAGCTGGCCTCCAGGACACCTGCACCCTGCACAGCCAGCCCTGCCTGCTCCAGGAGGCCCGCCCTGACCATGCGCCCGGGAGTTCTGGAAGCCAGAATGTTATACCTGGTGTGATACCTGGTGATGTTACTGACACCCCCTCCCGGACCTGAGACCCTGAGCCAGGCGCGGGGCTGGGGCTGGACCAAGCCCTCAGGCAGATTGGCAGGTGCAATTCAAAGGTGGGAAGTGCTGGGGTGGTCAGTGCTGGCTGGCGACATCAGAGAGGGCTCCTTGGAGGAGCAGGTGCTGATGTCAGCCCCGAAGGGCAGCGGGCTGGCAAGAGAAGAGTGACTCAGCCACGCTGGCACGACCTGCAGATGAGGGCACCCGGCCCGTGGCAAGCCTCACAGGGCTGCCCAGCCACACAGCCACGCCCTGTGTCCACCGCGTCCAGAGGCTGCGCAGCAGGTTAAGGGCACCTGAGTTTGGGTTCCCTGCTAACTGGGAGGCCGTGGGCGGTTCTGAGCCTCCCTTTCCTCTTCTGTAGAACCTGCAGGGACGCGCCCCGCCCTGGGGCTGGGACGGGGCTGGAAGGAGCCTTTGGGTGCCCCACACGCAGAGCACACAGAAGCACAGCTCTCCCCGGCTCCCGTCACTGACCAGCTGGGATGCGCCCCGTTGTGTCTCCCCAAAAAAGATGCAGTGAGGTCTGAGTGCTCCCCTCAGTCCCTCGGAATGTGATCTCAGCTTAAAATGGGGTCTGTACAGAGTCGAGTTAAGGTCATTAGGGTGGGCTGTCACCCAGGGCGGCCAGGGTCTCGCACCAAGGGCAGCTTTGAACGTGGACATTCGCAGAAGGAAGGTGGGGAGGGGGTGGCCGTGTGTCAGCGGGCGGAGATCGGGAGCCTGTCTCCACCAGCCAAAGGCCACCAGGGATCTCAGGCAGGGAAGAAGGCGCCTCCTCAGAGGCTTCAGGGGGAGCACGGCCCTGCCTACCCTTGGTCCTGGGTCTGGGCTTCATGACAGTCCTCAGAAGCCACTTCACCAGCCAGAAACCCGCAGATGCGCAGGACACTCTCCGGCTAAAGCCAGGAGCCCAGCCAGGTCAGCTGAAGCTGGCCACTCAAGCCACACCTGCTAAAGGAACCCTCCCTCCAGGGGGTGGCACAGGAGGGCCACATGGAAGGCACCAAACAGGACACCTGAGCTCCTGGCCCCCCTGCTCCCGCCAGCGGACCTGGGCTGGGAGGCCTGGGTCACCCTGGAGAGACTCCACTTGTGGCCCCTGCCCGGCAGAGGCCCTGGTTTGCTTTCTACCCGGTGGAAGGAGGAGGTGGAGACGGGATCCTGGCAGAGCAGGAGAGCGCCGGACGGAGTCGGCAGCTGAGGCAGGGCCCCGTCCCTTAAGTGTCTGAGACCTTGAGCAGGGGGCTGCCCTCTCCCGGACCTGGCTCCCCTAACAGCCCCGCAACAACCATAAAATCAGTTCTTCCACCTCACAGAGCTGTTTCTAGAACCCGGGGGAAAACTGACGGGGACATCAGACAGGGCCCTGTGCCTGCTGTTCCCGCCCAGCCCGGCCTCCCTGGACAGGCCTGACCCTGGCCTCCATGGAGCAGCCTGAGGGGAACAGGCTCTCTGACCTCTCCCTGGCTCCAGCCAATCTCTCCTCTGCAAAATGAGATGCTGGAGGCTGCTCCCAAAGCCTTGTTGTCATAATTAGTGTGTGTCGGATATTACGTATAAAACGTGTCTCTATTTTCACCACTAGAGATAGTGTCCCCACAGGTCAACGGTGGCGCTGCGGCCTGGGGGACTCCCATTCTCTGGCAGGTAGGCCGTCTACAGTCAGAAGGAACACTAGTGTAAAAAGGAGGCCGACACCCGGCACATTTTTGTGTCCCTTTCCACTCTACCCGTCTATGACTGGGGACAGAAGCATTCCGTGGACTTCAGAGCTCAGTGACGGCAGAGAGCAGTGTTGACAGGTGACCCTCAGTCTCTTGTGGACAGCACTGACCATGGCAGCCGCTGCCGGCTGCTCACCCCACGGCCTTTCCTCCTCCCTCACCCAGTAGCCGGCATGTTGGCTGGGTGCCCACCTGGATGCCCGGGTTATTGAGACCATGGCCACAGGCCAGTCCCAGAGATCCCGTCATCCTCAGCCACTGATTGGTCCAGGGATGGTCAAGTGACTTTGAGGGACCAGTGAGATGTAAGAGAAGCTGCTGGAGCTTCTGGGATGGGCCTCCCTGTTGATAGTGAAGTGGTGATGGAAGGAGCCCTGGGCCCCCACAGTTCCCTCCTGCAACAGGTGTTGCTTGTGGGGGATGCGTGTGTAGGGTGGTGGCAGCCATTTTGGAGCCAGAAGGAGAAACACCACCTGGAGCTAGGTAGAGCCTGGGTCCTCGATGACACTCAGTCCTAAAGTCAGCCTGTGTTTTAACCTGCCACTGGGCAGCTTTTGTCACTTGTAGCCACAGTGAAGGCACTGGCCTGACAACACCGCTTTCTCACAGAATGGCTAATGTTCCACAGAGGACTGCCTATGGTGGGGTCCAGAAGGAAAAGGGAAGCTACCCCTGGGTGGGAGGGGGTCAGTGGGGCGTCCTGGGGTCATCCCAGGCTTCGCCTCCTACCCAAGTTTGAGGATGACCTGAATCACCGATGACAACGTGACACTCCCTGTGCACTAGGTCTTGCCCAAGCAGTGAGCTGGAGCCCGTGTCTGCGGGGCCAGGGACACACCCATCCCCAGGAGGGTGCCCGACGCGCCCCACGCTCAGCCAGCAGCCTCCCAGCCACAGAAGCCGGCCCTCCTGGCGCAGTTACCTCGATCTGGGGCAGGAAGGTGTGGATGGAGGGCAGGTCTGGCAGGCTGGCGGTGACCCCCAGGAGCCGCTGGGCCAGGGCCCTCCACAGCTGCAGGCCCTGCAGGGGGCGCTGGAAGCCCTGCCACAGCTCCACCCCCGTGGCGTTGCGGAGCCTGGTGCTCTTCCCCTTCAGGCTGCGAGGACCAAGAAAGAGAAAGCGGGGTCAGCTCCAGGTGAGGCCCCGCCGGACCCCCAGGGAGCCCAGGAGCACTGCCTCAGGGTGGGCCCTCTCCGTCCTGCGGGCTGCTGGGAGGATCTGCAGCAATGGCCACGAGGTATGGGGGAAGGGACTCTGGGTGACGTGGAAAGGCCTCAGCACGTGCTCAGGTCTTCCTGGGCACAGACCCCAGGGCTCCCGGGGCCTCTGCGCTTGTATATAAATAAGAGGTGTGAGCGTCCAGAGGAGGTGTGGACGACCGGGAGTCTCAAGTCTGGCAGACGAGTCTGCGATCTAGTTGGCTCATCCTGGAGCCTCAGTTTCTTCACCTGACAAATGGGGAACACGGTGCCCCCAAAACACTTGTGAGTGCTGAGATGACACAGAGACGTCTCCTGGGAAGAAAGGCCCGGCCCTCCTGCTGAGGATAAACCAATAACTGCAAAAGCTCGGTCTAATTTTAAAAATGAGCAAAAAACAGGAATGGGGTTTAGTGTCCAGGGCTCCTTTGACCCCGAGGGCTTTGCCCATCTGTAATGTAATGGCTGCAAAATCAAGCTGGGCTTTTGACACTCCCCAAGGAGTGGGGAGTAAGGTCCACCAAGGGCGGCAGGTTCTGAAAACCTCACCCTTCCTAGAGCTGGGCCTCAGGTCCACGCTGTCAGGACAAGAGGGCACAGCGGGTGAGCCAGCAGCCCAGCCTCCTGGCCAGGGGACTGCAAGCCACAGGGTAAACCGTGAAGACCTGAGACGGGCACTGCCCCAGCAGAGGCCATCAGAACCCTCTGTTAACCCCAGGCCCCGCTCATTTCTAGGAGCACGTTTTCAAATCCAAGGTCCAGCTCCCAGACAGAGATGTGCAGCCCTGGAAAGCTCCAGGACAGAAAGCAGAGGCAGAGGTAGCCCCTCGGCCACTCTGACCCTCGGCATAAACCCACCCCCCACCCTGGAGCACCTCACAGAGGACCCAGGCCGTGACCTTGAATGGAGAGGGGGGCCTGGGCACGGCTGTCGGGGGAGAGACACCGCAAGCTGGACCCCTGCTCTGCCTGAGGGAGCCCGTACCCAGCAGTGGCCGCTGTGCTGTGTTAGCACGTCTCGGGGGAAAGAGGGCCACGCCCCACGTTTCCACGCTGCTTCAGGCCTCAGAGGGAAGCCATGTCCACTCCAGGCTATGCCCACCGGCTGAGGGGACAGGCAGAGGCTGGTCTGAAGATGCGCTTGAGGTCCCAGAGTGGCCAGAGGCAGGGCACTGCTGTTGACCTATTGAGTAGCCCTCCCCTTGGCCCACTGCATGGTGAACCCTTCCCGATGTTAATTGGCGTGAACAGACTTGATGGAATGGGCGCTGGGCTGCCCACCAAGGACAGAGACAGTCCAGGCCTCTTTTAGGAGCGAAACCCAGAACAGACCTAGAGGGCCCAGCGCCTGAGCCGAGGGAGGACCCGCAGCAGCCGGTCACTCAGCGGGAGGCGGGTGCACCACAGTCCTGCCCACCCTGGGCTCCCCGGGTACCTCTGGTACTCCTGGATGGCGGCCACCACGCTGTCGGAGAGCGGCTGCAGGTCGGGGAAGGCCACGAGGTCCTTCAGCTGGGCCTGTAGCCAGGCCACCCGGGGCTCCTCGGAGGCCAGCGCTGCCCGTGTTGCCTGCAGGACAGGATGACACCCCAGGGTGGATGAGGCTCCTCAAGGGGATGGCCACAGATCGCAGGGGGCTGAGCACAGGCCAGTGAGTGGCGCCAGGTCGGAGGAGCCTGTCGCCGAGGGCAGGGGCTGGGGCCCGTCAGCTCACTCCTAGGCTGGCCCTTCCTCTCTGAGCTGCAGTTCTTACTGTCACCTGCCTCTGAACATGCTGGTGGCAGCTGCCAGCTCCTCATGCACAAACACCCAGGGCAGAGGGCGCGCCGTCCCCTGCAGAGAGCCCCAGGTGCCCCATCCACCCGAGCCTCACCACCAGCCTGGAGAGAGGCTGGCCCATGTTCTACACAAGGACACTCGGGCTTAGCGGTTTGGACGGTTGTGAAACCTGCAAACTGTGTGCCTCACGGCTGAGCCACCTCCTTAGCTCAAAATGGAGCGTGCACCACAGGGTGCTCTGTGAATCTCTACTTCTACAGAGGGACCACCAAGAAGTGTGTGGTGACCACGCTCAAATCGCTTCACCTCACTGTGATCAGCCCCTCCAGAGGCTGCCTTTTCCTGCTGGCTGGGGACATTGGAATTTGACCTTGACCTGCAGAACTCAAGCCCCTCTGGGCTCCTGCTCAGGAGGAGCCAGGGTGGGGTGCTAGAGAGCACTTTGGGGCTCGGGGGAAACTCAGGGCAGCTCTAAAAACTGTCCCATACAATACAAGGGGCATGCTCCCACCAGCCACAGGGGACAGGTGGCACTGACCAGGGGCCCAGGGCGGCTGCCACCCAGGCTCCCTGAGGCAGCCCTGGGCTTCTGCCCTCCTGAGCTGACCTCAGAACCTCCTTGCACAGGGATGGACCCGGGCAGCTCCAATCAGGCTAAGTCAGGGAATCCCCAGGAACAGGATCAAAGGAAGGAAGCTCTGGGAGGGATTCTAGGAGTGATGTGGGCCACTAGTGGGCAGCGGGGCTGGTGGGAGCCTGCCTTTGTGGCAGATGCAATTCCAAAGGCTCTGTCATTTCCCCCAATTCACAGGCAACCGAGGCTAAAGCAATCCTCCCAAAACTTTCCCAAAAGCAAGGGGAGGAAGCAGCGCTGAGCCCAGGAGGTCTGGCCCCAGAGTCTCCCAGCCCTAACCCTGGACCACAGCACCTTCTGCTCATGCAGAGGGGAAACGGTTCCCTTGCAGGAAGATGATCGCTGCAGTGTGACCTGGTCTGCCACAGGACTGAATCTCAAGAAAGCCGAAAGAGGGCATGCCCTTGGTCACTGCCTGCTACTACCTCCAAAAACATTTTTGTCTATGGGCAAAGATTAGAAGGAGGAGAGGCCGATGCATTTGGAAGATGCTGTGGATCTTGAGGAGATGAGACCGGGAAATCCCTAGATCCTAGGGGAAAGTGGCGTGCCCTTGGGGAGGATTCTGGGACCCCAGTCTCTTCCTCTTCCTGACTCATGAGATGAGCTCTTGGTATGAGCCAGGGGTCCACAGAAATGGGGCCACTAGATCATGGACTGGAGGCTTCAGAACCATGAACCAAAGCAAACCTTTTCTCTTTATAAGTGAATTGCCTCAGGTATTCTGTGATATGACAGGATGGTGACTAATACATCTCCTGAGTGTAAAGGAGCAGGGTGTCCTCTGATTGGGTCTGGAGTCCACCCCACCATCCTCCATTTGGCCTCCCCAGACTCCCCCACCGCTGTGTCTGTCACTTGTCATGTCTCCATTACAAGCTTTTCTTTCTGTGGTAACAGCCTGTTCTCTACTGAGATGTCCACCCCAAGCCACCAAGGGAGGGCTCTGAGGCCCTGTCTACCTCTGGTGTTTACTCTCTAGCTCACCCTATGACCTTGGGAATGGTGGGGGGATTCTCTCTGGGCTTCAGTTTCCTCATCTGGAAAATGGGGGTGAACACCCATTTGTCCTCTACCCCTCCAGGAAGGTACCAGAGACCCAGGAGGCCAAAGGGGGTGTGCGTAAGGCTTGGTGGCTGTTCCGTCCCACAGACGAGCTCACACACCTGGACCGCTCCAGGGCTTGGCCAAACCCCACTCACCGAGTACAGCCTCCAGCGGGCCACCAGCTCGTCCTCAGTCCCTGCCTCCTTCCCTGCAGGCTCCAGGCCCTCCTGGGCCAGCCTCTGAAGTCCCTTCTTGAACTCTCCAAGCTCGGCCTCCAGCAGCCCCATCTGCCGCTCACAGGCCCCCCTGGACGAGAGCAGTCCCTGCAGCCGCTCCTCCTCCTCCTCCCAGAGGCCACGCAGCTTCTCCAGGACCTTCCGCATCTCCTCCAGTTCTCCCAGGATCTTCTCCGCGCCCAGAGGAGAGGTGTTCTGAATGACGCCTTCGGACTGCTCCTGCAGCCCCCTCAGAGACTCCTCGCCCCGGGGGAAGTCCTTGGCCATGTCCTGAAGCGGGAAGGGCAGGGGGAAGCAGACCTGGGATGCCGCGCGGGCACTCATCCCTGGATTCCTGGGTGAGGGCTGCCCAGGTGGACTCTCTGCCCCAGGATGGGCGGCAGAGTGAGCACCCGAGTCCCTCCCAAGCCCTTCTCAAGCCTTTGATTAGGTCAAGGAGAAAGTGGGTTGGGTGCTTCTCTGACTTAGCACTTTTGGGCACTGGCCCATCTTTTTAAGGCACAGAGCCATTGACAGCACTGTGGGGACCGTTCCACTGTGTTTACATGATGAATGGTGCTGGGTTTCCATTTATGACAATGTGTTGTTTTTTTCTGAATAACTTTCATCAACATTTTAAAAGGTGAGTCCATTAAATACAAATACGAAACACACCCATCAGGTGCCACATGGCTCTTGAATTATTGAGGATGCCCTGCCCACTCACTTAGCAGAGGGAGCCGGGGTCTCTCCAGGGTCATGCAGTCACAGAGGCCAGCGTCTCTGGACTGAGGCCCGAGGTCCACCCACAGCTCTTCTCCTGGGCACTACTGACATGAGTGGCTGGGTCATCCCCTGCTGCAGAGCTGTCCTGGTCACTGGAGGGTGTTTAGCAGCATCCCTGATCTCACCCACCCCCAGTTGTGACAAATGTGTCTGGACATTGCCACCTGCCTGCCTTGAAACCCACGAGTCTAGACCACGCTGCTGTGGTCCTGCGTGTCCAAAAATGGCCCCTGGCTCCCGGACTTTCGTGAAGCAGCCAGACCCCCAGCGTTTTGCGCTGGATGCCTTGCTCCTGCTCAGGGCAGGGTCTGTGCCCAGGAGCTGCCTTGTTAACTGTAACTCAGAACCCGCCGCAGGGGGGCGCTCCCTCCACGGCGTCCGGGGCCTCGGGCTGGACGTACCTGCAGCGCGGAGAGGCGGAGGGTGGGCGGCAGCGTGCAGCCCCGCCCCATGCAGCCGTGCACCTTCTCCACCACGGCCCTCAGCCACAGCTGGAACTCCTCCACGCTCGCCTGGTACTGCTCGTGCTCCTGGGCCACCCGCTCCAGCACGTCCACCCGGTCCTGCGGGAGGGGAGAACCTGCTGTGAGGGTCCCCCGTCTGGCTGTCCCTGCCTTTAACTCTACTGCTGGTGTGACCTAGGAATGGCACTCAACACCTGGGGCTTGGTGACCACAAGGACAACACTCCCCCGGAACACTGTCCCTTCCAGTGCTTAGCACCATGGCGACCCGCTAAGAGCTTTACATACTCAAGCTCCTTGAGCTCTCCTGGCGGCCCAGGCAGTGCCCCCGTGATTATTCAGGTTTGACAGAGGAGGACACTGAGCCTCAGAGAGGTGAAAGGACTTGCCCAAGGTCACCAGGCTCAGACAGTGGGAAGGCAAACCTGGGTGGCAACACAGAGCCAACAGGCAGTTCTAGCACCATGCCTACAGGGTACGCAGGCTGCCCCCTTCTCCAGGACATGGTGATGCTTACTGCATGGGCTGGAATCTGACCTTCAGCCAGTCCCACTGAAGGTCTAACGCCCCAGAGGCAGGGTAGTTGATACTTAGGGAAATGACAATATCCCTGCTGTGAGACCTACTGTGCTCCTAGAGACTGTTCTTTAGACATTCCCTGATCACAGTGCTGTCCCCTTAAGCCCCTTGATGGCTCCCTACTGTCCCAGGCTTAAATGCAAGTTATAAATTCTGGCATCCCAAGACCGGTCCTTGGCATGAGGCTCTGTGGTCCACTGGTCAAGGCCTTGGGCCAGGGAGCCCACTGCCTGCGGCTGGAACCTTGGCATGTCATGGACTCCTCTCTGCCCGAGTCTCTTCCTTCCTAACAACCTTATTGGGGTGCAGGGAGATGAAATGAGCCAGGGCTTGTGCCACTCTAAGGACAGTGCCCTGCAGCGGGGAAGCTCTTGGTAACCATGAGTCATAGTTTACTATCCCCTGCTTCCCAGGGCTTCTGGCACAGTACACAGCACCACCTGGCAGAGCTGACCCCAGGGCCCTGCCTCCTTTCTCTGAAGCTCTGCCCACTACCCTGGAGGCCCAGGGTATTTCCAAAACACGAGGATGCAACTCTAGCCCAGCACCCCTCCATCAGGTTCCACCTTCAGGGGGACCAGGAGATCACTACAGACCACGCTGCCCCACTATGTCATCTAGCTCAGGGCCGGCTCAAGGTGTGCCTCCTGAGTGACAGGAACAGCAGACCCTGGGTGTCAGCCAACAAAGGGACTTTCCAGGGACAGTCAAGAGAAGGGAAAAGACAGAGGCTCGTTCCATAGTGTGACTGGAACTTACACATTAGCTTCTTTAACACGATGCCACAAAACCTCTCTCCTGCCACTGTCCAAACCAGAGTCAGGAAGTCACAGAACTCTTGACAGAATCAAGGTTCAAGCCTCAAGTGTCAGGCCCCAAATCACTGCTTGCGCCAAGGCCTGGCAGACTTTCTATCAAGGGCTGCACGGCATGGGGTCTAGCTTTGCCCTCCGCCTGATTTCTGTTGCAATCCGCCAGCCATGTAACGGCCACTTCTGTTGCAGGACAGGAGCGTGTCAAGGATGACAGGTTCCAACACAGCTTTCATTTTGGATAGTAAAGTTGGGATTTCATGCCATTTTGCCATCACGAAACATTCAGCTTTTAACTTCTCTCAACCATTTAAAAATGTGGAAACCGCTGCCAGCTGCCAGGGCAGACACAAGCAGGGGCAGGGCTGGATTTGGCACAAGGACTGCAGTTTGCTGACCTGGGCTTTTCATCCTGGAGAGAGGCCACATCCAGGGGGGCCCCTGCTTGCCATGAGGCTAAGTCAGAAGCTCTCAACTGGGAAGAGACACAGACAAGTGGACCAGAAAAACGTCCCCAGCGGCTTGTACAAGCTCCCTCTCCTTTGAGAGGCTTCTCACCAAATCCAGAAACACCCATCCATTTAACCCTCTGTGACAACCATGGAAACCAATGGGAGAAAACCCCCCATTTTAGAGACGGAGACTCCCAGGCTTCAGACCAAGCTCCTCAGGGAAGAACTGAGCGGTTCTCTCAAAACAAGTGCCTGCATCCCAAAGTGGACCCTGGACTGGAACCGTCCCCTGCAGCCGCGGGGAGGGTGCTGGAACCTGGCCGGTTCCCTGGCTGGCTCCCCAAGCCCCGAGAGACTGTTGGCATCCCTCAGAACCCCGCCCAGCTCCCCCATTCCCAGGGAAGGTTCATCTGTAAACACCGTGGGTCGTGGGTCGGGAGCAGCCCGTGGAGGCTGATGTGACGGATGTGGGAGGGAAGTGCATTCCTCTCCCCACGTCCCCAGGAAGGGCCCACGGGAGGTGCCCAGTGTGTGAGTGATGAGGCGCTGGCACCCGCCACGTCCAGAGTAAATAAGTCTCGGTGATGGGAAGCAGGCGCTCGCGAGGAGTGGCGGGCAGGGCCGGGATCCAGACGAGATCCGTGCCAGGCGCAGCCCTCACGGCAGGGTCCAGCGTGGCCGTGGGAAGATGTCAGGGGTGACACATGGGAGAGTGCTCCGCCTTCTCGTTAGACCCAACAATCAAGCCGTCTGTGGCCCAGCGGAGCCGGCAGGGATGTCACAGCCCAGCCAGTGAGCAAGGGCAGCGTGGGTCTGTGTCTCTGACCAGTGGCCGAGGTACCAGACAAACACTGCTTCTCTGAGGCCCACGGGGGGAGGGGGGAGGCCGGAAGAAAGAGGACGCTGCTATTCGTCTTGTGCTTTGGCAAACGGAAGTCGTGGATTAAATACAAACAAGCAGGACACTCTGGGCAACGGGCCACCCGCCTGAGTTTCCCTCCGCCTGCCCTGGGCCAGCCTGTGTCTCTGCTTGGCTCAGCCTGTTGACCAACCCAGAATCTCACCGTCCAGAGGCCACGCCGGTCCCCTCCCCACCAACATCGGACCCTCCCCACCCCAAGGTCAGGCCTGGACCCAGAGGAAGTTCCCAGGACTGACCCTCACAGGCCCTTGTGCAGTCACTGGGGTGCCCTGAGGGAGCCTTTCAAGCAAAGTGAGGTCCGCGATCAAACATGCAGAGCAGGTGACCAGGGGACTCTGGACCACCAAGGATCTGCCCAGGTGTGTTGATGCGTCCAGGACCTGAGGCCCAGCTGCAGGTGGAGCTCCTAGGGAGCCACCCAGAACTTCTGTCTCTTCCAGTGGCCAGGGTTGTCAGACCCTGGGATTATTTTTTTTTTATATGAAAACTGAGCCCAATAACATCTTCTTTGTCTACTTCATAAGAAGACTGCAGGAATCGAGTGAGGCCAGAGACAGGAAGAGGCTTGTAAAAAGTAGTGCTTCCCCATAAGAGTTGCCATTTCTACAGGTTTTTGGCCCATGTGAGGGGGAAGTCCCCTGGAATGACAGTGAGACTCTCCGAGGTGACCATTCCTGCACTGGGGCCAGAATTAGTGCTCAGCCAGCACCCTGGCATCCGCCCACCCAGTGGACACCAGCAGCTTCCGTTCCCTCTCCTCTGCACCCTGCACCAGGGGCTCTGCTGATTGGCACAGGCACCTGTTTTCTGTACAGTCAGGACGAAGGGCCAGCACTGTGCCCTTTAAGGGCCAAGGGGAGACCTGGAGAGAGAACTGCTGTTGAGCCTGCCCTGGCCACTTGGGATTTGGCTTGCTGCTACACCTGCAAGAAGGAACCTGATACCCGCCTTGCCTTCCAGTTCCTGACCCCTGAGCAGCTGTCCTAGGACCTCTGCCACGGCCCACTGGGGCCCGGCGGGTTGCTCGCCTTCCTGCTGCAGGGGTGGGGACTTGTGCATCCAGCAAACAGCCCTGGGCACCTGCTGCACGCCCAACATGGGTGCTGTTGCTATTTATTCTCACCCACCTGGTACAGAGGCTGTCCTCCACGCTGGGAAAACACTGCTGATTTTAAAGAGCACACAGGTGTCTCCAGCAGCCCTGGCAACCTGGCAGAGCAGGAGAGTGGGCCCCCAGGCCACACAGCTGGGAAGCAGCAGCCTGACCCTGAATTCAAGTCTCTTCACTCGGGGACCACCTTGCTCCCCACCGATTCCCTGTCTCTGCTTACTATGGGGCTTGTTTCCCCTGAGCTGAGGGAGGAGCCCAGGAGACTTCCAGCCCTGCACTGTCCTCTGGCCAGGCCAGCAGGATCGTGGGGAAGAGGGAGGAAGAGGGAGCAAGCCCTGTCCCCCAGCACACACCTGGCACAGTGGGAAGGAACAGTCCCCAGACCAGGAGGGAAGCTGCGGAGAACTCCCCCATGACGCGCACTGGGCTTGGTTTCTAGAAGCTGGGGCTGAGCGCTCAGGCTGGACTCTGCATGAACTTTGGCCACAGAAGAAGCAGAGACCCCCTACCAGGGAGCCCCAGGGGGGCTTCCTGCCCACACCAGCCAAGGGCAACTAGAAACACATACGTTCATAAAGTCAGCGTGAGACAGAAACTCGTGGTTTAGACTAGGCCTAACAGACAGAACCAGTCACCTTCGGAATACAGAGCCAGGGGCCTGTCCCACAGTTTGGTTTTGGGGTTCAGTTTAGAGAACCCATTTGATTCAGGAATCCCCAAGGGGACTATGAAGGTAAATTCCCAGGGGAGTTTTGCAGGCCGGGCATGTTCCACCCCCGAGGACACACAGAGCAAGCCTGCTTGGGGTGACTCACAGTTCCCACTCCCAGAGCCCCCGGGAAACAGTCCCCCCAACAAGAGACACATGAGCAGTAGCACCAGACCCTGGGGCTTTAGCTGCCTGAACAGCCCCCTGCCCCCGTGGGGACCGAGAAGTACACAGGCTCAGAATACGATCCGCATCCAGGAGGAACAGGAGACTTCAGGAAAAAAGGACATTTGATAAAGAAAGAATAAGTGGACATAATAAAGAACCAAACAGAACTTCATCACGTGAACTCAGTAACCCAATGAGTCAAGGCAAGGTGGGCAAGGGACGGGCAGAGGGCGGGGGTAGGAGAGGGACAGGAGGGGGAGGGCGGGGATGAGAGAGAAGGGTGCTGCTCTGGTGGAGAAGAACGGCACAGTGACCAGCCACTGGTCACCACCTGTGGACTCAGGCACATCAAGCCCTGAGCGACTCTGGGCATGTGTGGGTAATGGGGAGTGGTGGGTGGCGGCAGCAGATGGACGGGTAGGTAGAAGGTGACAGATAGGTGCCTGGTGGGTGGTGGATCAGTGGATGGAGACAGTAGATAAGGGCAGGTGGGTGAGGGGTGGACGGGGAGAGAGATGGGTGAATGTGAGTGACGAGGTGGGTGGGCTGAGGGGCAGTGCGTGGTGGGTGGGTGATCACCAGGTTGAGCACATGAACAGGTTAGGCTGGGGGGGATGGGTGGGTAGAGGGCTGGCTGGGTCAGTGGGCAGGGTGGGGGCCAGACAGGTTTGGTGACAGCGAGAGGCAGGTGGTGAGGAGGGAGAAGGTGGTCAGAAGGGTGCTGAAGGGAGGGCGGGGGCAGGGGTGCAGGGCGGCTGGACAGTGGACAGTGAATGGATGGTGGGGAGGTGGCTGCATAGGGTACAGCTGGCCTCACCTGGGCTTTGGCCCTCACTGCGTCGTACTCGGCCTTCATCCTCTTCTGGGCCTCTTCGTCCACGCTGGGGTCCCCGATCCTGTTGAACAGGGAGCCCGCCTCCTCCAGCAGCCGGTCCAGGAGCACGGCCTGGTTGTCCACGTTGTGCAGCAGCACCTGGGCGTGACTCAGCTGCCACTGCTTCTCCTTCAGGCCCAGCTGCAGCTCCACCTGGGGCTCCAGAGTGACCGTCATCTTCTGGAACCAGCGGTAGAACTCGTCCCGGGCCAGCAGGTACTCGCTCCAGTGCAGCCACACCCACTCGATGCGGCTGTGGGCACAGAGCACGGGGACATGAGGAGGTGCCGCCTGGCTCCTGGGCAGGGGCCATGCCACTGTCCCCGCCCCAGCACCAGGGGCCATGGAGAAGGCCCTGTGTGTTCCCCAGGGTCACGGGACAGCTGGCCGACACTCCAGACTCTAGACCTCACTCGGTCCTCCAGGAAGAGACCCTCCTGTCCTGCTGATAAGCTCCCATTGAGGCCGTGGCTCAGCATCAGGTGTGTCCTGAGAACCACCAGCCAGTGACGCGGCTCAGGCAGCAGTAAGCCAGCAGCACCCCAGTTCCACCTTCAACACACCAATCCCTCCAAAATCTCCCTGCCACCGGGACTCTGAACACATGGCCTGGGCCCCTGCCACGTGCTGTCCACAGTCAGGAAGGACAAGGTCACCCGGGACTGTGCCATCAACATGCAGATGCAGTCGTGTCTGTGGCTTGCTAGTTACTATCCAGTAGGGGACTGCGGCCTGCATGTGGGTTCCAGGGGCGCCGTGAACTCTCAGCGTGAGCACGCCTCTCCACCGGCCACAGGGGCCCCTGAGCCACACACAGGAACCCTCCCATCTGTAAGGCGGACCTGGCCCTCTCTCCAGGCAGCAAACCTCAAGCCACTTTGTTTGGGATTTTGAGTGGGAGGGTTTGGAAGACAGCACCGGGCCTTGCCCTTGCCGTTGGTCATCCCTCCATCCCCCTAACCTTCAGGAGCACTTGGCGGCCCCCATGACTGGAGGAAGTGCCTGTGGCTCAGAGGCTGGGGATGTGGCTCAGTGGTCAATCGAAGGCCTGGCATTTATGAGGCCCTGGGTTCAATCCCAGCATCAAAAAAAAAAAAGGTGGTCAGGTAACTTTCCCAAGACCACACAGTAACCACAGCAAGTAACGGGCTCCAGTGGAGGCCAGGTCTGTGTGAGTCTCTGTGTCTGTCCTCTCCAACCCCTGCCCCCAAGCCGGGCTCTCTGGTGCAGGCAGAGCATGGGGCCAAAGCTGGCAGACCAGGCCTTCTTCTCGGGGGCTACCCTGGAGGGTGTACGTGTGAGCAGGCTACCAGGATTCGTTAGCAAACCTGGGGCTCCCAGTATCTACTGTCATCATTAAGCTGGATGCTAATGAGGAAGAGGCAGGCAGGCCGGGCCCGAACCCCCAAAGAACATCCTGTTCCAGGAATCCCAAGACTGAGAAATGCCCCCTGGACACAGGTTCCAGGCCAGTGTGGAGCTGGCCAAGGAGGGTCGGCAGCCCTGGTGGGTGCCCTGTCCTGGCTGCCTACCTGTGACAGTGAGTCATATAGGTGACGGTCTCCTCCCACTGGGCCTTGATGTCCTTCAGCCGGGCCAGGATCTCCGGCTTCTGGTCCTCGGGGCAGCACGCCAGGAGCGCCTCGGCCGCCCGCAACACCACATCCACCTTCACGCGCCCCTCGGGCTCCCGCTGACAGATTTTCTGTGGGCACAAAAGCCAGTTTCCCAGGGTTGGGCACACACAGGCCCAGGCTCGAGAAGACAGTGGCTCGGAGCTGACAGCCGGACCCTGGGGCTGGAGGAGCGGGGCTCAGACCCCCGCCTGCACCCCTCCTCCGTGACTATGGGAGACCCGCTCCTGGCTCCCAGGGAGGAGAAGACGGGGAGCCCGGCTGGCACTGCTGGCCCGTCCCTGGGAGTACGCAGGCCCACTGGGCCTGGTCTGCCCGACACCTCTCAGTCTACCCTGAGCTCCGTGATCTCATTTGTGAAATGGAGGTTTCTTACTCTGAGGTGGAATGACCACCGTCCGCCTCTCCGATTGTTTTTTCAGGATGAAAAGAGAAAACATATGCAGTGTATGTCACAGACGGTCGTCTCGGGACTACTGTGGGGGCCAGCGTGGCCCAGGGGCCCAGTGCAGCCTGTGGAATCCGCAACCCTGTTTCCCCATTAGCACCAGGGCCGTGGTCCCACAGCCGCTCCCACAGGTGACCAGTCATGGCAGGGACTCATGGCAGGTCTATATCTAGGAGACACAGGGGCCCTCTGATGGGCCACTTTAGCTCAGAGACACCTGGGGCCTTGCCAAGTGCCCCGAGATCCCCAGAGGCCTGAGCTGCTCCCACCAGCACCCCTTGCTCCCCGGCCTTGGGACCTGTCCTGCCTCCCAGCCTCCCGGCTCCTCCCTGCCTGTCACCTCTCCTGGGGGTGTCCCCTGCCTGGCTAACCTTATCTTGCATCAACTTCTTGGTGGCAGGAGGACCCAAAGGAACGTGCAAGGTCTGGCAAAGAGTGAGCCTCTGATTATCAACATTATTATTCTGATGCTCCAGGGCTGGAGTGTTGGTCCCTGGCTCAGACATGGCTGCGTTCCCACTGTACCCCCTGCTACTGTGTGACCTGTCACAGGACTTACGTCCTCTAGACCACGGAGCGGGAGGTCACGGATAGGCCACCGGGGTTGCAGTGTGTCAGGAGCTAGAGGACCTCTGTCACCTGCTGTCACCACCTGCTGCTCCGTGGCTTTGTGCTTCCTGGAGTTGCTCATTTGCCTAATGCTCAGGCTCAGCGCCCAGCGGTCTCCCTGGGGCCAGCTGTCGATTTCCCAGGCTGAGGTCCTGGGGCCTGGCTTCTCGGACCCTGTTCTGTGGCTGGAGGGTCGGTGCTGCCCCGCTGAGGGCTGTGGCCAAGGCAGGCCATCCGGCACCTTGGGCCTCCCTTCCTGTCCCAGGGCAGCACTAAGGACCCCTGCTTTGCCCACCTCATGTGGTGATTTAAAAGTCACAGCAAAGAAAGCAAACTGTTGAGCAAAGGGCACTGGCCCCACCCCTCTCGATCCTCCTCAGGATGGTGACCGTGTAAAGGACATTTCCACCCATAACACTAATGGAGCTGCTCCTGCAGGTGGCCTTTGTGTGCACAGGGGAGTGGGGTGGAGCACAGGTAGAGAGAAGCTGGGCAGGTGTCCCCAGAGGAAAGAGGTCTTATTTGGACAAGTGGTGGGATGAGGCAGGTCCCACAGAGCAGGGCTGCCACAAGCAACCAGTAAAGTCCCTTGCAACTGCTCAGTAGCAGGCAGCCATGTGGGGACGAAGAGGCCGGAGCGGCCAGTGCAGATGGAAACCCCAGGGCTCCAGCTCTTAGCCCACTCCCAGGAAGGCCGTTGCACATCACTCAGGAACAGGATCCACAACAAGGCCAAGGACAAGTGTCCTGCCCTCTAGAGAGAGATCCGACTGGTTATTAATCAACCTCCTTAAGGACGTGGTGACTCCAACTCCCAGAATTTTCAGAGGGACCCCACATCCCCAGGCTTGCAAGACGGGCACGTTGGCCATCCCAGTCTTACAAACGAGGGCGCCCAGGCGGGAGCAGGGGTGCAGGACTGTCGTCCCAGCCACCGGGAGGCGGAGGCCAGGGATGGCGGAGGCCAGGAATTCCAGACGTGAGAGACCCAGGATGCTCCTCCCTCTGCAGGCGAGTCCTCTGTGGCTTCCCTGCAACAGGAGAGGAGCTGGCGGTCCCCGTGCAGGACACCAAGCCCCCCTGGCTTGAAGCAGAGACACCTGCCCCCCCCAAAAGTCAACACGTGGGGTGTTCCTGAGGGCCTGGGGCTGGGAGAAGCCCCTGGCTGTGGCTGAGCTGGGGACCAGATTTCCCACAGTCCACCCTGCCCTCCGCCCCTGCCCCAGGGTATGCTCCTCCCCTGGTCCATCACCAGCAGGGGCGTGGCCAGGGGTGCACAGCCACCTGGGAAGGAGCCCTTAAGCCGCAGCAGCCATAAGTCGCTCTGATATGAAGCAGCCAGTGTGGGCAAGGGGGGTGACGTGGGGATGGGAGTGGGGTGAACCAGGGTTTCAACCCAGCAAAGACCAGCTGAGCAGTGGGGCGCTGTGCTGGACAGTGGGGTCCCGCGTGAACAAGATGAAGCCGGCACTTCCAGGCTGCAAACAAGAGCTCACGTGACTGTGAAAAAGAACCATGAGGAAGCTCAAGGAGAGGCCTGGGACATCCCCAAGGGCTTCCTGGAGGAGGCAGCATGGCTGCCAAGTCTTAAAGATGGGTGGATGACTAGAGGGGGTCTGAGCAAGATATATTTAGGGATGGGTGCATTTGGCTTTTGAAAGCTGAGTCCTAGGAAATGCTGGAAAGCCCCTGACCAGAAAGGGGCCTAGAAGCCAGAGAGGGAGTAAGGCCAGGAGTCCTGCTTCCAGCAGGATCTGGAGGGCTGGGAGCCAGGAAGGAAGAGGACAAGACAGGGGGACGCTGGGGGGGCGGGGGGAGTTGGGAGCCCCAGGACCAGCTCGGCAAGGCTGGGCAGGGAGTGAACAGCACGAGGCAAGGCCTGGGGCCAGCTGCCTCCACTGAGTAGCCAGGGAGGCCTTTGTCCTTGGCCTTCACGCTCCCTCCCTCCTGTAAGGCAGGGACTGTCACTTTCCCCAGGAGCAGGACAAAGCTCCCAGAGCTCGGGACACTCCCCAGGTG